TTGAAGATTTTACCCCAAATTTAGAGGTTTTGACCCCAATTTTGAGGATTTTACCCCAAATTTTGAAGATTTTACCCCAAATTTAAAGGTTTTTACCCCAATTTTTGAGATTTTTACCCCAATTTTGAGAATTTTATCCCAAATTTTGAAGATTTTACCCCAAATTTTAAGGTTTTTACCCCAAATTTTAAGGTTTTTACCCCAAATTTTAAGGTTTTTACCCCAATTTTTGAGGTTTTTACCCCAGTTTTAGGGGTTTTATCCCAATTTTGGGGTTTTTTACCCCAATTTTAAAGGTTTTTACCCAAATTTTTGAGATTTTTACCCCAATTTTGAGAATTTTATCCCAAATTTTGAAGTTTTTACCCCAGATTTTAAGGCTTTTATCCCAAATTTTAATGTTTTTACCCCAATTTTGGGGTTTTTACCCTGATTTGGGGTTTTTACCCCAATTTTTGAGGTTCTGACCCAAATTTTGAGATTTTTATCCCAAATTTTGAAGATTTTACCCCAAATTTTAAGGTTTTTACCCCAAATTTTAAGGTTTTTACCCCAAATTTTAAGGTTTTTACCCCAATTTTTGAGGTTTTTACCCCAGTTTTAGGGGTTTTATCCCAATTTTGGGGTTTTTTACCCCAATTTTAAAGGTTTTTACCCAAATTTTTGAGATTTTTACCCCAATTTTGAGAATTTTATCCCAAATTTTGAAGTTTTTACCCCAGATTTTAAGGCTTTTATCCCAAATTTTAATGTTTTTACCCCAATTTTGGGGTTTTTACCCTGATTTGGGGTTTTTACCCCAATTTTTGAGGTTCTGACCCAAATTTTGAGATTTTTACCCCAAATTTTGAAGATTTTACCCCAAATTTTAAGGTTTTTACCCCGATTTTGGGGTTTTTACCCCAATTTTTGAGGTTTTTACCCCAGTTTTAGGGGTTTTATCCCAATTTTGGGGTTTTTTACCCCGAATTTAGAGGATTTTATCCCAAATTTTGAGATTTTTACCCCAATTTTGAGAATTTTATCCCAAATTTTGAGAATTTTACCTCAAATCTAGAGGTTTCTACCCCAAATTTTGACTTTTTATCCCAATTTTTGATGTTTTTAACCCGATTTTTCAGGTTTTTACTCCAATTTTGAGAATTTTATCCCAATTTTTGAGGTTTTTAACCCAAATTTTTGAGGGTTTTACCCAGATTTTGGGTGTTTTTACCCCAATTTCGAGGTTCTTACCCCAATTTTTGAGGTTTTACCCTGATTTTGGGTGGTTTTATCCAATTTTTGAGGTTTTTACCCCAATTTTTGAGGTTTTTACCCCAATTTTTGAGGTTTTTACCCCAATTTTGGGTGTTTTTACCCCAATTTTGAGGTTCTTACCCCAATTTTTGAGGTTTTTACCCAGATTTTTGGTGTTTTTACCCAATTTTGAGGTTTTTACCCCAATTTTGTGTGTTTTTACCCAGATTTATGGTGTTTTTACCCCGATTTTGGGTGTTTTTTCCCCAATTTATGGTGGTTTTACCCAGATTTATGGTGTTTTTACCCCAATTTTTGAGGTTTTTACCCAGATTTTGGGTGTTTTTACCCAATTTTGAGGTTTTTACCCCAATTTTGGGTGTTTTTACCCAGATTTATGGTGTTTTTACCCCAATTTTTGAGGTTCTTACCCCAATTTTGGGTGTTTTTACCCAATTTTTAGGTTTTTACCCCAATTTTGTATGTTTTTACCCAGATTTATGGTGTTTTTACCCCCATTTTGGGTGTTTTTACCCTGATTTTGGGTGTTTTTACCCCAATTTTTGAGGTTTTTACCCCAATTTTGGTGTTTTTACCCCAATTTTTGAGGTTTTTACCCCGATTTTGGGTGTTTTTACCCCAATTTTTGAGGTTTTTACCCCAATTTTTGGTGTTTTTACCCCGATTTTGGGTGTTTTTACCCCAATTT